AGTACGTGCAGAGGAAGCTAATCTACTCAAACACCTAGTTCGAGTAGAGGGTAAAAAGAAAACTTTGTTTGATGTAGTAAAGCTATCAATATAGCTTCAGTCTTTATCTATCTATGTTAATCTACATTGTCGTATGACGACAACCTGCTCAACACTCATTGCGCGCGTCTAGCAGTGATTGATGGTAACCTAGGTTAATTTGTCTTTATCAACCAATGTTTGAGCAGCGCATGAGTATTGTCCTACAAGGGGATAATTTTCCTTCAATTTTTATCCATCTCGGATATTGTCGGTAGGATATTGTCACGCTAGACAATCTCCCTATTCACACCGTTTGGTGTCAAAATCATGCAACGGGCTAACCCGTTATACTTCTGCAGGTCGCACGCCTTGCCAGTAATTGCGAGGAAGTGCGTAACGAAAAGTAAATATAAAGTGGGATTCCTTGTTCTCTCTTATACATGCATCTTATCAGCAAAATTCTTGTCGCACGACGAGAAACGTCTTAAAAAGGGAAAAAAATCTTCAACTGTCAAGACTCCTGCCAAACGTAATGATCATCACACATCAATCAGTAGGTCGCACAGAACTTGAAGTCACAGGTCCCTCTCGGTCTCTCTTGTTAATTCCAGGCAGTCTAACAGAAACGAGAGCTTCCATTCCATAACGAGGTTTAATTTATATGTATAAACCCCGTACAGTATGGTAGAGCGACGCGATCAGCCTTTTCTTATGAGAGTCGAGCGTTCGAGTATATGATCGTATTCACTTTTGATTAGCCAACCACGTGTGTGCATCACCACAGTGGCCTAGCCAACGTTTGACTTCGGATATGCCTTATATAACCTTAAGAGGGGACATGCTAGACCGCACTTAGTACGAGTAAGTCCAACTAGCCGCGTTATTACAGACACATAGACAGACACTCAGACAGATAAGAACGATTTAAGAGCTGAGTATTCAACCTTGCGCACAGTCACTAATAGAGTTACCTTCGGGCTCGCAATCAATTTCAGCACTAAAGGGGAATTACAACTTACGATTACGGGATACTAGCGAAATGTAGCTTAAGCATACGTCATTTGTGACAGTTAACGACTACTCTATATTTGTTTCCGGATCTATAAGATCAGTAGCGTGGACGCTAGAACGTATTAGCGTTAGTATTGACCCTGTCACACAGAATCGGATTGACGATGTGCGCACTTTAACGGAGAGCAATGAAAGCGTTTAAGTTATGTAAGTGCGAAACTAGTAAGGCTAAATGTGGTTTGCTGTCAGTAGATTGCGTAAAATGTCAAGTAGTATAGGACACAAGAAATGATGGATTTTTCATTCTGGCCTATCAGCGTTAAGAATGAATTGAGTCATTTTTTGATCGACAACTTTGATTTAAAATTGCGAAACGGGTCGGAGCGCATAAAGTGGAGAGCTTACGATATTACGATTCAAATCCTATTAGAGCGTGATTATAATTGCAGTAAAAAAATTGTTGTATTTCAATTTACCTCTGATTGAACCTTAGTTAACTCAACAACACGCCCGGTATTTTTAAAAACTAAGTTTCATATCTACGTTGCAGCGATCCTAATAGATCACGCAGGAGAATAAACCTAATTTAACATGCTTACATCGCCCAGAGACCAGGCGTAAAGATGCCCCAAAATTCGCCTCTTTCGGGAGGTAAGAAAGTTTAAGGAACTACCATGTTTGACCGTGAGCAAATCTCATTATCAGGACCACAAATTTCCAAAAGTCCCAAAACCAGGACTATAGTTTAAACAAGTCTAAAATTGATAGATAGAAAGTGTTAGCCACATTGTACTCAACTGCAATATGGGATAAGAAACTGCCTGATCACTAATGAGTCTTTCCATTTCTTAGACAAAAGTCGCGAGTGGTCGAAAAACGCTCTATTTTACCAGAGGTTCGTTTACTTTTCAATTTGCGCCCACGAGCCGATGTGCCCATTTTGGGTTGGGCACATTGCGTGCGAGCCAGGGCCCGATCGCACGCACCCGACGAGCTCGTGACCGGGGGACTCCGTTATTATATCACCTCTCATGAGCAGCGGTAGCAGGTAATCATGCTGTTGATGTCGACTGTGCTGTCTAACGATCGTATGCTTTGTATGTGTGTGTGTGTTGCAGTGCGTTTCAAGTGATGTAGTCTAATTTCGAGTGATTTCGAGTGGTATCAAGTCGTGACGAGTGATGTCGAGTGGTACCAAGTGATGTCGAGTGATGTCCAGTGATGTCGAGTGATGTCCAGTGATGTTGAGTGATGTCCAGTGATGTCCAGTGATGTCGAGTGGTTTCAAGTGATGTCAAGTGTTGTCGAGCGGCGTCGGGTGGGGATAAGTGATGTCGATGGGTGTCGTGTGGTGTCGTGTGGTATCAAGTGCGGCTGAGTTGTATCGAGCAGTGTCGAGTGTGCTGGTCATGTCGAGTGTGCAGTTTAACGATGGAAACATGCATGGATCGTGGTGTATCGAGCTGGCAAGATTTTGTTAGGTGTGTTAAACGATAATGTAATGAGCGAATTTATCTTTTTGAGCTCGTGGAACATTAGTTTTCTCCTATTAAATTGTTTATGAAAGTCGATACATAGTCAATTCTGCAAGTCATACTTGAAACGTACGGCAACTGAAAATGAAAAGTTGATTTATGATTTATATCCAAAGACATTGTCGAACCTGTATGTAATTATGCATTCGATAGATGAGATGTTGCAAAGAGCTACACACTGCACCTTCAATTCAGTACAAATGCAATGGATCCTTTTGCGTGGCACCCTACTAGAGTGGTTTTAGGCACCATGGTACTTGTAGTCACTTTTAGCACTGGAATTAAGGAGCTCAACATGTTGCCCAAGTCAATTGGATGTGCAACAAATGCATCATTTCTTTCGTCAGCGGCATTCGAATGGCGGCGACATGTTTTACTGTTGTGTCCCGCTCGCGTGCACGACCGGCACTTGTACGTAGCTCCAGGTTTTGTATCCCCTGAGCTGCCGATTCGTCTTTTTTGTCGACGCCTAGCCTGCGTGTAGTACGGTGGTGGGTAAATCAAAACTGAAGGGGTTTTGTGCTGACAATAACTTCAATAGTCCTCCCCTCGAAGCCTTGCTTGAAGCTCTTCACAAGGTACGAAGGATGAACAGCTGAAGTTACGTCGATCGTGGAGCCAATATAATGCAACACTGCAACGATGTGGCGGCAAGGCAATTCCATTTGAATAAAGGTTGAACAAGAACGCTTTCACGCTTCAGTCTCAACCCGTCGAAATTTTGCGTAGCCTTGCTTTGAAGCAAACCATACCCCAGGAGCTGGTCGTGATACTTCATAATTGCCCGCAGCCTTTTGTTCTTTTTTCCATAGCGCTCGCGCACGAGGAGTCACTGTAAGCTCTTGAGCTGTCCATTTCACGATCTGATCTTGACGCATACTAAACTTGTCCATAGCCGTCTTTGTCGAAATTCGTATTGCCTCCAGCGGTGTAGCATCACGAATACCAGTTGACGAGAATCGTGTTGTTATCACTCTCGACAAATGTGGTAGTGTGCCATCCAAAAAGTGGACATGGTGTTATCGTTGGCATGTTGTTATCGTGGGGGTGGTTTCTGGTGAGCCTGTTTGTTTCGTCACTAGTAACATCACTCGAAATCGTGCTTGCCCCATGATCAACATCATGCATCGGCATATTAGCAAAGACTGTACAGTAAATCGGGTCAATAATTTTTATGTACGTGGCCACATCGACTCCAAAATATGACTGAATTGCCATGAGAGCTTCATTGTAGTCAACCTTTGTCTCTGTAGACTGAAGTTTCCACACTGCATTCTCAAACTCGCTTCCTGAACAGCCGAAGTTGCGCTTGACATTACGCAATATATGTATCGTGCAGAAACGAATTTGAACGCTGATACTGGTTCTTATCCACACTAGCTTAACGGCTTCTTGTACTTTTCCACGATCACACATGACATCAACATTCATGAAATTATTCCAGCGTCAATATACTGAATGAAAAACCGCGCAATGTTGTCCTTGTTTTCTACGTGAACAAATGCGGTTGCAAGCTTGACGTTTTGTCCGTTACCGTCTCGTCCAATCAGGGAAAGTATTACGCCATTATACTTTCCGTGACGGAAATGGGTTCCATCAAAGCAAACCACCGGTACATTGAAAGAGTGGCTGCGGACGGCAACTCCAAATGCCACAAAAATCAAAAAAAACTCGATTGTGTTGGTCTACGTCGAGTGACACGGTGCTGTCTGGATTGATGCGCCTTAACTCCACCAAGTGTGGGGCAGCGAGAAAAATGATTTCCATTCACCTTCCATGTCATCAACCACCGCGTCCTTTTCTCTATCAATCTAGTTCCGATATTACTGCAGATTTGTGTCATCACGAGCCCGTACTAGCGCCACAATTGACTTAGGCTTGATACCCTTGTCACCTCTAACAGCGGCATCGAAAGTTGGCAGTAGTTGAATCTGCCGAGATGATGGTTTGATGATCGCCATGCATACATCGGAGTGGCTGTCAATGAACGTAGAAACATAATACTCGCAAGATCCACCCGTCCATTCTCGCTTCGTCACACGTACTTCCCACGGGCACCCAGCTTGTGGGCATACATATGTCTTGCTTCTTCCACTACTCTTCTTCACCTTGCACTGTCGATTTTGATTAAAACAGTTATCCTTTATGTACGCGGTTGCAGCAACGCCAGTTCGAAAGATTTTACCATAGGTCAGGTCAGCAGTACCGTGATTAGTGTCAATTTCGATTGCTGCAGTCACTCGAGACATCTCAAAGACTTCTTTCAGTCCACTTCTTGCGCTTACGCTTAAACGCTCAAAGCAACCATTCAAAATAAACAGCATGAGGTATTGAACAAAAATTACATTTTAATGATTAATTCTTTTAGGACCAGTACTAATTTCTGAATAAATTTAACGCATGTATTACACTTGTCTTTATATTACGCCCTAGTCAGTCAAACACACTCCTCGCACTGCAACATATCCACACGGACATAGCACACAATCGTTAAGCAGGACATTCGACACCACTTGAAACCACTCGACGCCGCTCGATATCACTGGACGCCACTTGACATCACTCGACAACACTTGGCATCACTTGAAACCACTCGACATCACTGGACATCACTGGACATCACTCAACATCACTCGACATCACTCGACATCACTGGACATCACTCGACATCACTTGGTACCACTCGACATCACTCGTCACGACTTGATACCACTCGAAATCACTCGACATCACTTGAAACGCACTGCAACACACACACACAGACAAAGCATACGATCGTTAGACAGCACAGTCGACATCAACAGCATGATTACCTTCCACCGCTGCTCATGAGAGGGGATGTAATAACGGAGTTCCCCGGTCACGAGCTCGTCAGGTGCGTGCGACCGGGCCCTGGCTCGCACGCAATGTGCCCAACCCAAAATGGGCACATCGGCTCGTGGGCGCAAATTGAGAAGTAAACGAACCGTTGGTAAAAATAGAGCGTTTTTTACCACTCGACACAGTTGTCTAAAAAATGGAAAGACTCATGAGTGATTAGGCAGTTTCTTATCCCATATTGCAGTTGAGTACAATGTGGCTAACACTTTCTATCTATCAATTTTAGACTTGTTTAAACTATAGTCCTGGTTTTGGGACTTTTGGAAATTTGTGGTCCTGATAATGAGGTTTGCTCTTTGACCGTTTCAAGGTTCAAGAGATATACCTTGTGACGGTCTCACCTGATTGGCTGGTGGTCAGACCAGGTATCATGTGGGACCACGACGAGACGATCGGTCAGATGGGACAGGGAGAGACAGGTGCCCCCTCGCTGATCGTTGCATTTCAGGAAAGTTACCAAATGATTACAGAGTCCTGCGCGACCGTTAACTTGACTTTCGCAACGCATTTACCATTCATGTACCCTCGACATGTGGTTTTTGTAGGTTTTTATATTAACATACAGAAATCTGGTACGAACGTTCAACGCCCTTACTAATTAATAACCCCCAAAAAAAATTACAACCACAAAACGAGCACGGTGGACGCTAAATCTGATCGCCTGCTATGAGTTACAACTTATTGGAAAAATCATAGGGGGATCTGAAGTTTTATACGTAGTGCCTGGACTGTACGAAAAGTATAAGACTTGACATTTGATACTTTGGATGTAAGGAATGGTGAAATATATGGGTTGAAATTGCTTTGAACTGTATTACCGGCGATATTGCTTCGGCCAGTCAGAAAGGACTTTGCAAACTTAATTTACTATATCCAATCTTACTCGGATAATATCATCCTACTCCATTCTTATTTTGATCGTATTTACTATAATTACGAAAATGAGAGACCAAAGCGAACAAAATTTAGTCGACAAAGCTCAAATAAAGTAGATATTATGACGCGTTACCCTTATGAAAAGCACGCTACACTTGTTTCACAAATCATAATGATGCAATTTAATCATCGTGTCTCGTTGTAGCAAGAAATGCAATATCAGCATAATGGTAATTGCATTCCCGATTGCAAAATCGATATAAAAGGTTGTTACGGCTAACAAAAAGGTTTAGGACATCATGGCTTGCCGATACTGTAGATAACATAAACGTCGCAGCAAAAATATCTCGTATAGTGTTGACGACAATTTGACGCTAATTTTATCAATGCAGACTGCTGTAAAGCAATTAACGTCAAAGTGACGATCTATAGGCATTTTCAGGCGCTTTTGAGGCGGTGGAATCTTAAACAGTGCTTCCGAATAGAAAGCAAAAGATACGCATCGATGCAAGATGGCATGCGTATGTTAGCCTTAAACTAGCGCATAGTATTTTACATGATATTAGCAAATTTGCAGATCCACAATATATAGTTTAAGCGAAAAGAAGCGGCTTATACCACTTGTGATAAGTATTCAACCAATAGGCGGAATGAATTGTTGCTCTTTGCGTCTCCTCCGTTAGCTTGGCCTTCGCAATTTGTTGTCTTCAAGCAATCGACATTACAGCAAATACGATAAAGAATTATTTGTGGAGAGGTTTATCACAATGACATCATCAAAACTAGATTGTGGGCAACAGATTGCAATTTGACCGTCATTTTTTATTGGTCAAAACAAATTGTCGGTACAATGACCATCTTGCAACCGGTTCGTTTAGCCCATCCCTGTAATACTATGGTGTTTCATGAAAAACATGTTAACCTTACGGGTTCATCCTGTCTAATGTTACTTAGTTCATCTCGGTAAGCATCTCGCGACCTATGATCATCAAGACTAGACGCAAGTCAAGCGGTTGCTTGTCCAGGTGTCATCGTAGAAAAAGCATCTACGTCACCATGTGCGCACTATGGCGATCCAGTACAATGGGCCATGTAAGGGCACTGCAAAAAAGGAACATCGTAACGTGATGCCTACGCAAAAACAATGATAGCATGGTCAGTATTTGCAATTTAGTGTACGTGAACGCGGCGCGGACCTGCTATGACTTAATGGGATCTACAAAGACATGCGTTCATCATGCAATTTATTCTTTTGACAAGGATGCTCGCTCAGACTACTAATTTGCAGGGATAGACATATTTCCACGGCAACTATCGTAGGTTCACATCAAGTGACACCAGCATAACGTCGCAACGCACAAAGCCAGAGTATGGTGATTGCTTTAATTACTAGAGTAGCATGTTAAAAGACATATACGCCTTCGGTGGTAAGTTGCTTCATTCTCCAGACCGTACAGCCGTATCCTGTTTCGAAAAAGGTATACGCCTCGTGCTAAACACATTGATCTGCGGGCTCATTTCGTGCGAAATCATGTGGACAGTGTAAACATAAGTCCTGAGTATGTGCTTTCCGAGGACCAATCAGCGGACTTCTTGACGATGGCTTTTCCGACACCACGCTTTACGCAGCTACGCGAGCTCAGCAACATTGTTCCGTACTCCAGTTGAGAGGGAGATGTAACGAGATGGTGTTGCGTACAGCATTGTCCTACGTCGATTGGGAATATGCGTGTTGTGACAATGTGGGTTCAACTGGCGAACGACAATATTTTCACGGATGGTTGAGACACCAAGGTTGCATTTTGTGAGCTTCTAGATACGGAGTTCTAGAAGCTAGTATATATAAATATTTGCAGTACCACAACAAGTAAGTGAGACCAAAAGAGAAAGCTAAACGATACATTTGTGCTTCAGAAGACAAGCAGATAACTAAGTGTTAAAAGTTTTGAGCCCAAGCCGGTAATCTCGGGTAATATTCTCACCGATGAAAGCGACTTCTTATGGGAGTTGACTACGCGGATGGCACTTGCTGGGAAAGGAGTTCTCGAGCACGTGTTGCAAAATCCAGCTACCTTGCAGCATTCAAGCACATGGAAAGCCGACGATCTACAGGCTCTAGCTATCATCGTGAAGTTTTTGTCTTTCACGTATCAGACTATGGTGCGAACGGGACCGTCTGGGTATGATGCGTGGGATACTCTTCAATCATTTTTTGCACATCAGAACCTTCCCAATAAGGTACAGCTACGAAAAAGATGAGCAAGGTACAGCTCGATGAAGGGGGAAAATTAATAAATCATCTCATGCGGTTTGATGAGCTTAGTCAAAGCTCGCAGCTGTTGGCGAGACGATTGGCGATGATGAGAAATTGGTGATTTTCTTGGGAAGTATTCCTCAGGAATACGACATGATGATACGCATCATCGAAGCAACGAGTGGCGTGACCTCAATGGGAGCAAAGGAGATGCGCCGGCGAGAATATGAAACACTCCATACACGTGACGACAAGACGATGTCGTTCCATACTATCGGTTGTAAGGTTCGTAGGGGTTGTGAAAGTTAGCAAAAAGGCTCATATCACCTCGCGGGTCAGCCCCATGTATCAACAATGCCAGGCAAGGCGTGCAGTTCAAGGGACGCTTTTATACATGCAAGCGATATGGGCACAAGAAAGAAAATTGTCCAGCAGGAGGCTCTAAAAGCAGTGACGAGTTTGTATCCTCGGCAAAAGCTCAGTCACAGAAGAATGAACACATTACTCGGTTATTTGACAGCACTGCAAGCAGTCATATGTCAAGTGACAAAAGCGATTTCATAAACATGGTCGAGATGAATTTTCACTTTGGGTGACAGTGGCCAATGGACAACAAGTGGAGGTCAAAGGTCGCGGGAGTGGTTAAATGTATCTCGACAACAGATAACTGTCAGACTTAACGATGGGGATTAATTACATTATCGACCCGGGACAACTTCATTTGGGGCAGAGCAATTCATTCTCAAGCTGTTGACCAAATTTAGCTGTGAGTCAGCACATGCTGTGCGAAATCCACTGGTGTTCGGTCAAGACCTCGTGCCTGATGAAACACATGACATCCTTAACGACAAGACCCCGTATCGTGAACTTATTGAATCCCTCTTGTATGTTGCCCGCTTGCAATGCATTGGCGTGCAGCAAAGAAAGTATTATGCTTTCTAAAGGGAACACAAGACCATAGAATAAAATACTCCAGATCTACGAACCATGGAGCGGTTTTGAAGGCGTACTGCGACGCGAATTGGGATGGTGAGAAGCACACTTGTCGATCGACTTCTGGTGTACTGTTTTTATTAGCGATTGCCAGTGGTATACCGAAGCAAGCGTCAGTCCTCGGTGGCTCTATTATCGGCAAAGGCTGAGTATATGGCACTGGCCTTGGCCACGCAAGAGGTGCTTTGGCTTCGATATCTACTCGAAGAGCTTAGACTCCAATTATCTGGTGCAACAAAGGTCATGATGGATAACAAGTCGGCGCATGACAGGACACGACTCTTAAAGGCTGCGGCAATCGACACTGCCGCGTGGCAGTAGATGCAGCAAAGACGATGACAGAGTAAATTCGGTGAAATGTTAAACAACCACATCAGCGCTTTCGTAAATCAAATATCCATAAGCGACAGTGGTGAAGTCGCAGTGTTGGCCTTCTGCATTCCTCTAATGCCTTTCGGAAACAAATAACTGAGTGCTTTTGGGCTCCGTCGTCGGCTGGCAGTAAACCAGATCGACGAATGAAGATGTGATCTAGCATGTACACCTACCACGACAGAGCTGCGTCCATTATATTGCAGCTTGGCGTAAATGTTGGAATGTCCTGTATTTGTACGTGTCTAGCTGAGCTAGTGAAGCAGATAGAATTGGACTCCAGTGCTTTTGCTTTACAAGTAGCAAGCAGCGAGTCCAATTCTTGTTATGTAATTGCGCTTGACACTTCCTGTGTTCAGATAGCACTAAGTCTAACGACGGATACCATCCGCTCGTTGCTCGTATGATGACTGCGAGTGCAAGAGGCTGGAACAGCTTGGAACCGGTTGAGACATGTGCGCCGCAAGCGTTTTCTCATCTCAGCAGCCTAAAACCCCATAAAAAACGTCTTTTGTCAATGCAATTGACACCAAAAAGACGCTGCCATCTTTAACTACAGCAAGCCAAACGCCGTGAAGCCATCGTTGATATTGACTGAACCGTTTGAGATAGGGAGCAATCCCTGGAGCTCGCCCTTAGTAACTTAGTTCGGAGAACTGAATCAAGTTGCAATAATCTACACAACGGCAGACACTGAAGAATGAGTATGATGCTGTTGATGTCTGTATTAACACAGTACCAAAAATAGCTTAGGCAACGTGATCGGCCTTTGCTTATGAGCGTCCAGTGTTTGCTCATGTGGTCACATTCACCTTTGATCGGTTTGAAGCCAATCACGTGCGTCCATCACAAAATTGACCAAGCCAGAGAGTGACTTCGGATACGCCTAAATACCGCTGAGAGAAGACTGGCTAGATCGTACTTAGTAAAGGAAGGCACACCCAACCGCGCTAATCACAGACAGATAGACACACACACCCACAGACACACAGACGCAACCGGACAGATAAGTACGATTCGTAGGTTCGCCATTCAACGTTGCGCACACTCACTACCAGCTTCACCCTTCAGGCTCACAATCACTCGCTACTAGTCAACTCGATGAATCCGACGACTTAGTCCACAATTTATCACCAATACAAAAATGAAGCGAGCCATGAAGCCCAAAGTTCGTGACAACACGGTCGTGCAATTGGCTCTGGTCATGGCCGCTGGGTTCTTCTCCATTCCATTTGTCGCGCACTACACCAAGGTACGAACGTATCCGTAGACTCCCGATAAGTTGAAATTGCTGGGGCCCATAACTAACTTCCTGCGCCTTCCTCCATTCCCTGCTCGAGACAGACGGCGAACTTTACGGCTCAAAAGGACCCTTTGAATTCATCGCAGATCCGACGCGGGGCTTATCTGAACAGCGGCTCCCGTGACGCCGGAGCGGATCCCGATTGGGACCTGTCAACAGGCACGTACCATGGTCGACGAGGACCGAGCGTCAAGCGCACGCCATCGGAATCCAAAGCACACGGAGACGAGTAGCTCAGGCAAGAGAAGGAATTCAAGAGCTATCATGGTCTTTCTATAAACTTCTTCTAGGCATCCAGGGAGTCTGCTCCTCCTCGAGCTGGACAACAGACTGACGGAGCAGTTTACCAGTAACTGGCGTACGTGCTCAATCGCTTTCTCCTTCTCTAGCCAAGGTTGGCGTATTTGCCCTTCTTTGACTTCTTTTTGCTCTTCTTGTGATCGCTGTCACCGTCGCCCGAGCGCTTCTTGTGCTTGTGCTCCTTCTTCGAGGAGTCCGTGTCTGTCACCTCTTTGTTTAACTTGGTCGGCTTCTTGCTCTTCACCTGCACAACAGCACCCCCGTTCTCAGCCTGAGCAAGCGCAGAGTCCCAGTCGGCATCATCACCGCGCACAGCGTACTTCATCAAGTTGAGGCTGTCGAGCAGCTTCTGCTGCTCTTTGGCTTTTTCATCTTGAGCGCCTTGGCGCATTTCCTCGTCCAGAGTCGTCTCAGTAGGTGCCATGGCTTGGGACTGCGCGGCCACTTGTGCCAGCTTCTTGCTGTTCTCGCTTTCTTGCTCCAGTTGTTTCTCCATGAGCTGCTCAATCTGACCCAAGAACTTTCGTACAGCCTTGTTGAACAGTGCCAGGAGCTGGTTCGAGGGAATGTTCAGCTCCTGCTGAATCACATCCACAGACTGGTGCTGCAGTCCAAGACTCACAAGAATCGCACGCTGCAGATACGACAATGACATCTGCGGAAGGCGCTGCAGGAAGTACAGACGCGCCAGCGACGGCACCAGGTCCACAATCATGTGGTAGTCCACCATGTTCTTGGCGTACGACTTGAGACGTTTCGCATCGTATGGCGTCAGCACCATCGCGAGCTCTGCAGGGCTGATCTCACCGGTAGCACCACGGTGCAAAGGAGTCTGCTTGTCCTCATTGATATCGGGTGTGGAACTAACAGTCTCATCACTCAGCAAGCCAAGCGCTAGCGCACATGGAAACTTCGCGAAGTCGTAGCCAAGCAGTGAGGTGAATCGACGGCGTGAGTCGGCCACAAAGTCGTCCAGCCAGCCGTCTGCTGGCGATGCCGGGAGATCATCACAGCGCAACGAGCGCAGCAAAATAGCCGTGTGCTCGCCAGTGAGGTCGTTTGCTGTCTGTCGGATGTACACTGAGCGAAACTTTGCGCGAGACCAGAAGTTGTGCAGTGGTAGCGTCAAACCGAACGACGTACCGAACCAGTGCAGGCGCTCACATGGACGCTCCTCCAGCGGCAACAGGAGAGGTGGGAGTATTTTCCGTGGTTTGATCTTCTCCTTGCGAAGCTTGGCCTTCTTTGCTTCCTCATCTTCATCGGCATCATCATCATCATCATCGTCCGCTCCGTTTTCTCCGTCCACCTTTTCTTCCGACTCAGTGCCAGCTACGTCCGTCGTGATTTCACCTTGGTAGTACTTTGCAAGCAGTTCAATAGCTCGAGAGCCGTAGCCCATGCCAGTGACATCCGGATGTGTGGCAATGCGCACCACACGCGCCCCCGAAAGAGCAGCAAACTCGGAATCCTGGAACTGTTGTGCTACCGTCCACGGAATGAGGTCTCCCGAAGCACGTTGACCCCGCGCGAGCTGGGCCTTCACTGAAGCTTTGGAGATTTCTCCTTCCAGAGCCACCTGGACAACACAAAGGACGTCTGGCAGTTGGCCAGCATTACCCTGAGCTTCGGCACCAGGACCAAGCAGGGCAAACACGTGATGTGCCGGAGCATCGGACAGAAGCTGCAGGTCGTTTGGCTGGTTCTTGTAATGCGATGACACGTACAGCGTCATGATACGCTGCAAAAAACTTTCCGAGAGCTTGTGGTACGAGAACAGGGAATCGCGATTCACGTAGAACAGCTCACAATCACGCGGGTGAGGCGTGCCCGCTACAAGGCGATGCGATGCGTTCGTCACGTCCAAGCACAAAAGAGCGTTCAGCCAGCGCTCAACCGGATCATTAGGAGCGTAACGAATCGGTGTCTCAAGCGACACCTCACGAAGTACACGTGCTGAAGACGAAGCACTTCCAGCTACTGCAGCCTGAGCAGCACTACTTGCTGCCTGCCAGCGTTCTTCGTGTAGTTTCTGCTCACCCTTGCGGCGCTTTTGGTTGCCGTGGATATTCGCGGCAGCACGCGCTGCAGCTTCGCCAGCACTTCCTTGCTGCTCACGCAGTTTCTGGAGCAATTTTAGCGACAGTGAGCGCCCAGTGCCTTCATAACCGTTGATGGTGGACGACATGAACACGAGGTAGGGACCCAGCAGCTTCTTGACGACTGGAAGCGGAATTGCAGCAGCCTCGTCAATTGCGACTAGCTCTGCCTGAGCGAGCTTTTCGTGATGCGTGGGCTGAATGTACTGAATCGTCTGACGATGCTCGCGAAAGATGTTCACACGAATCACGGCATGGTTGAACTCTGGATTCGTGCTTTGCACGACCTCGTAATCAAGGTGCTCCTTATACTTGAGCGCATCGAACCCCTTAAAGACAAAGTCAAACACAGTCTTGAGGTTCTCGGGCGTCGGGGCTGTCACGAAGATATTGCTGTATCCGTAGGCAACAGCTCCTGCTAGCGCCATTCCCAGAGCTGCCGACTTTCCCCGTCCACGTCCAGCCGTCAACGCTACAGTCGAGCGCAGCGTCTTCTCTGATACCGCCTCTACAAAAGTGAGAATGGCTTTGGCCTGATCCAACGTGCGCGCCTGCTCTACCAGAGCACCAACAGGCTGAGTGTCACGCAGCGACGTCTTGAGTTCTTGCAGCTCGCGTTCGTCTTTCGTGAGCTCTGTTGCTGGATCACGAGGCGGTAGTGGCTCAATCTTTCGTGTGTGCTTGGAAATGGGCAGCACATTGAGTTCGTCATCAAGCACGACGCATCGTTCACACGAGGCTAGAGAGAGAATAAAGCGCTCGTTAAAGCGTGCAACCACATCCTGATGCGACTCGGTGCGAAAGCGCGCATGGACGTCCATGCTCATGGTATAGAGCTGCTTGAGACTGTCCATAGTGCGCAGCAAGAGCACGACGACGCCGCCTCCTTCCACAGTCTCGATCGTGCGTGCCATGATATTGGGGGTCACAGCCTCAAAGTCCTGCAGCACGCACATACCATACGTACTTCCCAGCACCTTCTGTGTCTCCTTGTAGTAGCACCAGCGGATATCCGTGGACGCAATAAAGAGCTCAAAGGGGTCGTCTTTACTGGGGTCATAGAGACCACGCTGTTGCTGCTTCTTGATCTGCCGCATCCGTTTCTGTCGATGCGTGGAGAAGCCCAGCTCCTTCTTATAGCACCAGAGGACGCGCGGACGTGCTTTGACGACCGCTTTGGACAGGATATAGTGCAGATTCATGACCTGGTCCTTGCCATGGTCACCCACTAGCACCACAAACGACCGGAAGTTCTCGTGGATGCAGTTCTCCAGCAGCGTCCGCACGCGCGCGTCGACCTTCTTCTTGACCATTTATCGAGGCGAGTGAGATCAACAACCCTGGACGACAAAGTTCACAAGCGATGGGTGGGCATTGCAAAGCATTGGTTGGTGGTCACTATAGGATGAGCTAGAATCAACGGACAAATGCCCTTGAGGAAAACCCAGTTTTTGGGTCACTCTTGCAGCTCAACCTCGAAAAATACAACACCTAGATAGAAGCTCCGGAACTCCTCTCACTTGTAGGTAGTACTTGTACGAGCCCCGCAGCGAGCTCGTCTTCGGATGGGTCATCAGCTTGACACAAGTCATCGATGCCCAGACGCCCGCATTTGTTAAACTGGCGCAGCGAAAATACTTTGCGCTGCGAGTCGTGAATGCTGCAGTCGTACACATCTTGCTCGTCCAATATCTCGGCTTGCAAAATTTCCTCCAGGACGTCCTCAAGGGTGACAATGCCCAGCAGCTTGTGCCTATCATTCATCTGCGAGACATGACCAGCAATCACATCAACGGAGGTATCAGATATAGCAACTTTCAACAACTTCTTGCTTCAATTGCACGCACCGGGTTGGTCACCTGTGGCTGTTTAACAAGAACCAGGTGCGCACTTTCCGATTTGAACATATGCAGCAGCGCGCTTAGCCTGCAATCCGGATCCACGGATCGGGTAGACCGACCAAAGATCTGGAAGAAGCTTGACAAACGGGTTTTCTCCTGATTGCAAGTACGTGAGCGTTCAGGTCGTCAAAGAAAAGGTTCGAGGGTGATGGCACGTACCTTCGAATCGACGAATATGAGGTCCTTCACGTGGATGGTCCCGACAATGTCATTGACTGAAGTGCCATAGACCAGGACGCGAGAGAACCCGCTGGCGAGGATACTATGGATGAGCTCCCGATTCAGCACCGCCGAGATGGGAGCCATGAAGACTTTGTCAAACGGCGTCATGATACTCTGTGCAGTCTTGTTCCCGAAACTCATGGCGCCACGAATGATACTGCCTTCATCTTCGTCAATCATCTGCTGCTTTTCGTGCATATCAATGATCTCCGCCAGCTGAGCACAGAACATGTATCGATCGTCAAGACCCTCGTCATCGAATAAGCATCTACCAGACGCTCGAATGGCTCGTACTTGTCGTTTTGTAAACACCGTGCCAATATCTTCGCCCAACGTCGCATCCAGCGCCAAGCTCACGGGCTTGGCAATAACGTAGAACAGAGCGATTAAGACGCGAACGAACGGGACCACTTTGCCACCGATCACTGCAGAAACAATTAGCGCCGAGAGCAGGAGCAGATCGAGTCACAGTTGTTGAGCGAAGTACCTAGCGCGTATCTCGAGCAGAGCGCTTGAGGAATAATCTCTCCGAAAATGAGGATCAGAACTGTTGAGGCGATGAAGCCAAACAGACCTGTAGCAGCAAGCACCGACACAATGTGAGCGCCACCATCGGCGGTCACCTCAAGACTAGAGCGACTGTACCGCTCGTAAGGTCGGCCGTGACAATCGACGTGAGCACATTTACGGCCACGTTGCCCAGTAGCAGCGTCGTGAGCAACAAGTTGCCGTTCCGACGCAAGGGGATCACTCTCTTGGCCGCGTCACTGTTCAAGCGCTCCATTGTCGTGGCACGCTCGTCCTCTCCGGCAGCCACGACGATTTCCAGTCCAATGAGGTCGAGCGACATGAGACCGAGTCCCAAGCCAGCGAATAGAGCGGAGAGCGTGAGTAAAAGCACCAAGAAGACCACCTGCAGTGCAACATCTCCTCTGAGGAGCTTTATACTCTGGTTTTGATCTACATTTGCTTCTCTAGTCACTGCAACTGCCTGCAACTGCCTCATCACTACTGCTGCAATGCCATGAACCAGCTTCATTGCTGTCGTTTGCTTACTGGCAAGCAACGACACTTTACCGACGAAGGGCCGCGACAGTGTGCGCCACACGACGACGGAAGATCGTGTGGCCGCGACTGTCGTCAAAGTGGTGGTCGATGCTAGTGTCGAAGTAGACGGTGGACTACTTCAAGTGTGATCATCAAAAAACGACGGAAAGAGGTACTGCCAATGACCTCCTTTCCAGCACTTGAGCTTTCGACTGTGCTTGTTGACAGCGGCGGTACATTGTATTCGATGTCATCACGACGGCAAATGTCGTGCTACTGGGATGCACTACGACTAGATCGAGAATGGAGAAGAACTAAGGAGCGAACCATGTGGAAAGCCGGGATTGTGACGACCGGTCGATTGGTTTCTTCACGATGGTAGCACAAGCGTGGCACATAAATTCCTCGTTATCGATCAGCCCAATGTTACTGCGTTTGGCAATTGATGAGGAGCTGCTGGTCATCCTTTCGTCACTGGAATAGGTGACAACGAGATGCATGATGAATATACCTGTCGCCAATGCGCTTTAGAACCGAAGGTATCATGGCGCTGGGGCACCTGGACGACGACTCGAGCTCAGCAGCAACCTTAAAACCTTCCGTCACGAGCACGAATGAACAACGAGCGCTTGAATACAGGCAGAGCTGCTCATTTCCTGTGCTTTGTGCAGTGTAGGATTTCGATCGTCGAGTTGCCTGTCTTCGTACTGATCTATGTAGATCGCGCGGTTCCGGGTTCTCAACCACGCCCTGGTTTCTGTTCTAGTGCAACAATACAAGTGTGTCAAGGTTGAAGCATGCATGCACACACATATAAGAATGCGCGTCAAATGATCGCATCTTAGACTCTAGGAGTTGGAGGATGCTGAAAGGAGAAGTTCAAGCCACCAACAAAGGATCATGTCCTACGTTGCGATAGTTACATGTGGGCTTTTTGAGTTTTACGTTTCTTAGGTCTCTTGACGACGTTGAACAATAATTGCTGATACAGCTGTCAACTCATGCAGCTTCAGACTAAGCTGTCTAAGGAGGGTTTCACCGTGTAGCTTGCCAATTTGGAAGTGAAGCGAATTTCCAAACACACTTTCCGAGTACTATCGATGAGAAACTAGTGTTAGCGAAACGTTTGCCTCGATCAGCTTGTGCCATCTACTCAACGGGAATTGGATTCATACGCATGCTATCTGACACGCACCGTCTATTGCTCAACACAACTCTGATGAAACAGTCAATGTTATCCCTGTCGAACGAGCGTGCGAATCGTGGTGAACGTGCAATAGACCAGTCACGTCCAGAATCTCGTCCGTTTGATTTTTGCTGGATGTCTTTTTAGCTAGATACACATGCATACCTTTTGTCGGCTCAACATTACTTGTCGGTGCGAAATGCTCAACGCGTACAAGTACCGCAATTAGCGTCGTGAATGCATCGGACACGAACCGTATCTTTCTCTGGGCGATTGTGGAAGCGTAACCTGCATGTAATAACCTACAATCAGAACGATGTTTGATGTCAAGAACGTACGCGTCAGGGTATCGCAATTCTTCACGTATGTTAAACGCAATCGATGTGTTCAGTAGATGGATTTTCTAACCACATTTACGTGATTCAGCAGCATTCACACCTTTCCCATCTATCCAATAGTTCTAGAAACGCATGTTGCAGTGCTTTTACTGGTGAAGTACAGCATCGGCAAGCGGTTTACCAGTCACGAAAACCGTGCTCTTTTGCCATCTCTGCAGCGAAATTGGTTACGGCTCGAAAATGCACACGTGTAATACCCAGATCTAGTTTTCGGTGCACCGCTCTATTTCATTCACTCTACAGCGGCCAAGATTTTAGGTCATCTGAGTCCGCGCACTGCTTCACGGTAGAACCCAAGTAAGATTAGGCATAATTTGAGCGTCAATGAGCAGCAAGGATGCAAGAATGGGAAGCCTTCGATGTGGTAGAGTTCAGTCTACATTGTCACTCAGGCATATCTCGTGTTGCAAGTTATCAGCAAAAAAGATTGAAGGCACACAATCATTGTGTTGACGTCCTCTCATCTCAATCCATGATGCCTTCCGAGTGTCTGGCTCTGCGCTCAACTGAACCGTTTTATACTTGGTTTGTAGCACGACACACGGATGAGATCAACTGTGGTTATTACCTCGGCTGAATAAGTGACAGGGTCGACATACTGAAAGCCAAGACATCACATGTGAAAAGATGTAAATGTGATCAACGTCGTCGCGCGAAAAAAATATCCGTGACCCACAGCTGTAGAAAACTGTCGAGAATATACAAGAAAAGCACACTCGAGTGCGGTGCGTACTATTAAGATTAACAATGCATGTTCTCAAAATCCTGTGCTTGATCCTGCGATATCCATCGTGCCCAAGCTAATTGCTGAATTACGGCGGCAACATTACCATTGCAGAGAGGCATGCACCTGAAACTGTACGGGGAGTCTCTTAACATGGTATGATAGGTTAGTATGGAAAATGTTGTCGCATACTACATCAAAAACAGCGGCGTCGATATCTTCATGGGCGAGTTATTCCTGAATGTTTACAGGCCCTTAACTGTTCATGAACGTCTGGTACAGACCAGTGATACGTGCTTGTCGACAGAGATGCGTTATCCTGGAGATTCAGTATGCTGACAAATTAGAATTGGGCACAGTACTTAGCAGAACTTTGGTTCACCTCTGGGCGATCGTTAAGCAGTTTTGCAATTGTTTCGACCGGACTTCAAGTTTGCATTTGATGGCAGAACTGTAAGGGACAATGTGCAATAGGTCAGTCTTGTTTTGTAGCCTTGCGAGACCACGCAAAATGTACGATCCTGTAACGTATGAATGCGGATAGAGGCTCTCAACTGAGGTAATTGAGATGGGTCATCTTGTCCGGCTCGCGCAATATGAATCGATATCGTTTTCTGATGATTTGCTTCGAACGTTGACAGACCCGAATAAATATCCAGCACGTCCCTCCTACGGCATCGCCAGATTCTGTTGCTCTGCTCAGGCTTATCCAATTGCATAGCTATCTTGGTCATCGTACGTTTTGATGGACGTCGCATATTTCCCGAAGAAGTTCAGAAATAATCCATGTCGTTCGTTCGCAAGCCTTAGAAGCAGACAATGTTGTCTTGCGAACCACACTCACCACGAACAGGTTCGCGCGCAGGAATCCACCTAAGCATCAGTGCATAGCGCTATAATCGGCTCACAACGCAGCGAACGGCACAAATTTGTTGCTACTAGCCACAATTTTGCTAGGTGATTATCTACTTTTCGGCGTGTTCGGAAACTACCCTCAATCCCTCTTCAGCAAGCTCAAGTGCATTTTGCACAAAAAACGCCTTGTCAAACGCCGCGTCTTCCAGTACACCGTCATCATAACTTGCCTTGAAAGTAGTCAGCAGCTGGACATCATTCTTGCGAGCCTGCGACTTGAGCCATTTGAGCGCTTTCTCGTCTTCAAACAGACCTTCTTTCTGCAGCTTATTCAGCATGCGCAACACGTCGCTCGATGCCGCGTTTTCCGTAGGAGCCGCAGCCGGTGTCGCTGCTACCTCAGCTGTAGCCGCCTGTGTTGGAGTCGACGGCTCAACGTAGCCTTTCGTCGGAAAACAAACGGAAGTAGTCAGAGCTGAGTCACACCCAGGGCTCACATTGGCGAAGCATACCTTCGATACAACGTGGATTCTCTCTGAGCACCTTGACAAACTCCTCAGCCTCCTCCTCCGTAGGCACTATGATAGCCAGCGGTTGGCCCGGAGCAACATTACAGGTACCTTCACCCACCACTTGATAGCAGACAAGCAATTACAGCAACAGCCCAACCGTCAACAGCCGCAGACCACATCTGAATCAACTGCAGCTGCGTATCGATCAACTCACACAGTCGTGCCACGATCCCCATGTCCCCAGACTCGAGCTGAAAAGTAACGTCCGGTGTGTCAATCTGCCACAGCACCCAATAATAACGTCTCAAATCATCACATCCTGCGTATCTCTCTTTCCTCCATCATTCCTACGCACACCTCGCACATGTGCGTGCCATCCTTCACGACGGCTCCTTCCTGCACGAACCACTTGCTTAGCGTCGTGTCAGACGCACCAGTGCCAACTTCCTGTGGTCCACAAAGCCAGTACAAAATCAATCACTTGGCGTCAATTACCAGCCGTTACAAACACCTCGTCAGTCGCTCCTTTGCACCTTAAAATCCAGATTAGGCATTCGGAACTTGATATGACTGGGCAAAGACACCTGTTTCGTCTCTTCCGCCGGTGGTAAACCACTCGCAGAGCTCAGGAGCGCAGCCCGTTGCAGTACGTTGGATGAAGGGTGCCAAACGGCCATTACCGTGCGTCGCATCGCCCTGTTGAGCGTAATCACTCGAGCTGCTGATCGCATCATATTGCGATAGAGCGATAGAGAAAGTCTTGGATACGAACTCTATGTGTGATCACGGACTTAATGGGATGAACATCCAATATGGTTCCCCACCATCTACGATAGAGTTTGAGAATAGACCGGTCCAATCAGATCGAACCGGTCAGCAAACCGTTGAAACGGTCGCTCGGCAGCCCCCACCAATCGCCGCTTGCGCTCCTTTCGTTCGTTAGTTTGGAATTTCCCGGAACAGTAACAAGCATGAGGTATGTGAGTCGTGCGTTAGTCGCTGCCACGCTAGAAGTGGCATGTACTGGCTCGTAGACGTGTGTCTGATGATTACGTGTTGTTGCTGTGTTTGTTGTCTCATTTGTCGGTTTGCAGCAACACTATCATTGAGAACGCGTTCACTTTGAACTTGTCTCTTCGCCTGCGTGGTGGTGGCAAGGTCCACGGATCGCTGGCACGTGCCGGTAAGGTGAAGGGTCAGACGCCCAAGGTTCCCAAGCAGGAGGACTCGAAGAAGGCGCTGACGGGTCGCGCCAAGAAGCGCTGGCAGTACAACCGCCGCTTTGTGAACGTTGTGGCGGGCATGGGTGGCAAGAAATTGGGCCCGAACTCGAACGCCTCTAAGGCGTAAGCATGAGGTTGCCGAAACCTGTGAGAGTGGGAGACATCTGGGGCGTCGACTACAGGATCGACGATCGAGATCGAGTGGATTACGCTGGGTGTCTACGGCTCATCTACTTTCGCTTACGTGGCAGTGACGATGTCTTTTCTCTGAGGCATGTGGAGCTGCTGCAGTGTCAGGTGCCGACGGTGTAGACTTTTACTCTGCAGATTCCGCTGCTTCGCATTTTCGAAATTCCATAGTTAATTCCAACGCAGTTACGCATTATCTGGTGTTCGTCTCGTGTATACACAGGCTGCTGCAGGTTATATCTGTTTCTTCATCTTTGGTTTCCACCCATCAGGTGGTGATTGTGAAATAAGAACTTTTTCGCTTGCTAGCCTGTGAGGTGCGTTCGTATTCGCCGTCGTTGACACATCGCAGCTCGCAGCTTCATTGCAGGCAATTGCAGGTGAGTAGTTTGACACAATTTGGCGACGCTGATACTGACACGCTGAATCAGCGCTCAGAGGACTTTTCATGCAGCATCTACGCTCCAGTACTTGATAAGTCCCCACACGATCGTAAACTTCATCAGCGCCGCGCAGCTTCATATCATGCAGGGTTGAAGAAGCATGTACTAGCCACTCAGACGTAACCCCTCGGTTTTTTTTCGTATCGGACTCACTGGGACGTGATTCCCATCAAGTTGACCTCAGTCATTCGAGCTATCGAGACCACCCCTTTCATGTAGCTACATCCGTTAAAGATTCATTAATTCTTCGCCCGCAGTGCAGCGGTGAACGATTCAGTGGCTAAGCTGTGTTTACATCGCTTGTTTCGTCGCTGGTCCGACTATCAGCGTTTCAGGCAAGATTTCGGTCGCTTGCCAGCTACTCCAGCGGACAGTAACAGCATGCTTAAGCTCACTTCACATCGCCCGCACGATCGTTATCCGATCGACCAACAATTGTGCAGACTACGTTTGCCTTAATTTGCGGTTAGTAAGTTACAACAACGCTTTCCGCCGGCTTGGACGCCGATGGTGGCAGACAAGTCCAACAATGCAAGGGATGCAAACAGACCGCAACACATGTGCGTTTAGACAAGCTCCGAGAACAGGCAATCTCATGTTAATGTAAACGATGGTGGACTGACTAGAACGCGGAATGCCGAGCGGTATTGCGATTCTTGTGCCACTGTGCCCAAGATGAGTACAGTGCCGCAAGGACCGAGTACTGACGCACATAGTTCATAGCAAGCTCCATACGTTAATTGCATTTTGTTTGGCGAGTTAAGTGCGGCAGTATTTTGAGGACTTCTCGAGGACTTTGAGAGCATTTAGCTTTTCTGAAAACTGGGAATTGGGCTTTCGTCAGCTGAAGGCTTTGGTCGTGCACGAACACCGAACAGCACGTGGAGCCCAGCCCGAGCATGTCTTGAATAATTGAGTCAACAACGGAAGGAGCACCTGGCTATCACAGGAGACAGCCGCGATCATTTGCCACAAATGCCCCTGGCGCACGAAAATATGCTTGTCGACCTCCATTAAATTCCTGTCCTTTATAGTCAACTAGGGCGTGAACAACGATGAGTCGCTGTATCGAATGAAAGAAGACTTATCAGGCGCAAGCTTGTTACAATACAAGGAAACTGCGAAACGATTCCAACTGAGCCCGCTTGTCCCACACCGGGCAAGCAAAGCCGAGCAGGTTTACCACATGTATCGGAGACTGCAACGTAACGTATGACCCAATACTAGAAGGTCTTGGTCCGTCAATTTGTCATCAGGGCTAAAGGACGCGACGTTTGCAGTGTTGCACAAGTAAATGCTAAGATGTCGCCTATCGCGCACGGCCCGCGCAGGCTCTGTAGCCAAGCATCGAATTGTGCGGCCAGTTGAGCATATGATTGCTTTGTGACCAGGGCTTGGCCCAAAGATGTACCGGTTTTGTGCGTCGGAGACACCAAGACGTCAATTGTATCGAAGCGCTGGTTTGTGAAATGAGCAACATCGGGAGCTGATGGTGCGAGTTCTTAGCTCTTGTGTGCGCTTCAACATAGTGAGACAAAGTGTAAATCACGAGCTGCGACCAAAGTGCATGATAAATGGAACCCCCTTCGATGACAGCAATGCTTTTAGAACGCTGCAACCTTTACATCAAACTATAACACATCTGGCGACCTCGTGTGCCAAGCAATCGATCAAATTGCATCGCTGAATTATAGCACCGCCTTGAAGAAGTTGCTGCACAAATGCACGTACTTAAGTCGACTTTTCGGTGGACGCACCCGGCCTGACCCTTAAGCCACACATTGAAGTTGTTTTACTTGCTTTTTGCATCGACACGCACGGACAACTGCCACTTTCTTCACCGTCTACTTCCTTGTCTGGGGACGACTAGACACCACCACCACTGCCCGCGCTTCACCTTCTTCGCCTCGTCTCCCCAACCACTTTCACTCTTGCCCATGTGGCTACTCAGCCTCAGTCTCGGCTGCTGTTTGTCGCTCTGGTGCTGTTGTTGCTGCTGTTTCGCAGGGCTCTTCGACGAGGGTCAGGTGTCGCCCCTCCCAATACCCACTAGGCGGCCCGCTGCGAGGACTTCTCGACCGACTCGCCCCGCACGCGCGACAGAATCCCACTAAAGAACGGCCGTAAACCACCAGCCGCTGGACTCACAGCCGTGCCCGCGCTGCTGCCACCACGATCGTCTTTATCGCGGACGGTCGTCGACGTGCAGATCGACTGTTCGAGCGGACTCTCGGAGATCCGCTCGACGCTCGGCACCTGCAACCCCATGTGACGCTCTTGTTCTTCTTCTCCACTGCCAAGTGCCGCACCTACAGGCGCTGCTCGTTTCACTTCCACCTCCCCTTGTTCGTCTGCCTCCATGTCCACGTCCGCCGTCTCTTCGGTCTCCAGCCGCTGCATCTTAACCGGCGGCCACAAAGTCGTGGCATCCTCCGGCCGTTCACGTGCGGCGACAGCTGTCGACGGCCGAGTCACGGAATCCCGCACGTAGCCAATATCCACCGGGTGCTGCTTGTAGCTCGATAGCCGCTGAGAAGTGATCGCAGCTGCAGCCACGACACTTGCTGCGGAAATAGACGGTCGCAGGCCTCCCGACGGCGTCGTCGATCCGCTGTTGCCGCCTGATCGAGGCGTGGAATTCCTCGACCCAAATCCGAACCCACGAGTACTACCAGGTGTGAGGTTGTTGGCAATGTACGACCGTGGCGTGTTGCTCTCATTGAAGAAAGCGCCGGGCTTACGAGCTCCTCGAGCACGGCCGTGGGCTCGTCCAGGAGGGTCGTAGACAGACCGAGTGGAAGTCGTCGAGCGAATCGACAGATTCGACTGTGCAGATGCATCGGAGTAGGCCGAAGGAGTGCGCGAGCCGCCGCCGCCGTTGCCCATGTACAGATCCATGAGGTTCATCTCATTGTGAGCGACCGTGCTGCTCGACGTCACCGAGGACGCAGAAGTATCCGACATGTCACCATCGTCGTCTTGTCCGCCTACTTTCTGCACGCCCATGTTGCACACGGAGCAGATCCGAACGTTCTTGAGCGTCGTGCCAGGCACTTCTACCGACTTGAAGACGCTGCATTTCCCGCAAATGACCTCCCCGCAGCTTCGACAGTGATGACGCGGACGAAACGTGCCGAACGTGCGACTGCACACGGCACAATGCAGACGTTCGTGGTTGGGCACCCACTGCTGCTTATCGACAAACGTGCACGAGTTCATCTGCTGCTTGTCAATGATGCGGCGGATCTGCACGATGGAGCTCACCAGCTGCGACTCAGCTGTCTTGAACGCCCATTGGGCAGGGAAATACCCGCCAGGGTCGAACCGCGCGACGTGATGAACGCGCACGACGTTCGGCTCGGCGCGATCGGTGCGGTACATGTACCCAGCAAGTATCTTGGCCCGCACAAGTCCCCGGGAGTTCTCGAGAGACGGACACTCGTTGATCTCGATCGAATTGAGGATCCGAATGTACATCTCGTTGCCAAACGAGTCCACAATCTTGTCTTGGACCTCGAGGCAGCAGTAGTCGCGATGCGAGACAATGGGCGTCGGCGTCTTGACAGCGAACCACTTGATGCCAATGTACCGAAACGGCGTGAGCGGCGTGCGGGGCACGACCGTAAAGATCACGGCAGCGTCCATCACTGCTGGATTCAGTTTCTTCATGAGTCTCCGGAACAACACGTCGTTGTGCGCCGCATACGCGCGACCTACTTGATCGAGGGACGCCGTGAGGTGGCCTTTGCAGCCCACTTCGGCGACGTTGGACTTGTACGCCTCAGGGCCACGGATCTGCCCAAAGTTCCGATAAATAGCCACCCCTTTCTTCTCGCGCGTGGGGATCCAGCTATTCTTGTGGCAGTCGCTCAGTGCAAAGACCTTGCGGATGGAGCTCTCGGCGAACTCGATGTATTGCCGCCGCATGTCTTCGGACACGCGGCCATTTGTGTTGAAAAACCCGCTGGGCAGCGGTAACGACGTCGACATGACAAGGGACGGGGCTGTTGCTGCTACTGCTACTGCTGCTGGAGGCAGCCAGCGAATACTCGTGTCGTCGCTGTTTAATACTCGTCTGTGGCCGCGAAGTCGAAGCAGTGACAATTGGGCTGTCGATGCGGCTGTATGAACCGGACAGCGATGCACGAACGAAGCGCCTAATAGGATTGCAGGGCAAAAGAGCGATTGCACAGAGCAGCGAGGTCAGAGGCAGAGGCGTGAACCTCGATGAAAATTCCAGCCAATCGTCGGTATCATCGTCGTGCGTACCACCTGATTTGGACTGACTATTTGACGGAACCGGACGAAGGCTGGCCAGCTAATGAACCCCGAACACTCAAATCAGTCGCCTGGTTTCTGTACCTCGTTGGCGACGTCGCTTTTGCTTGACTACGAACGTTGACAGCAGCGTCAGCTCGAGTCCATCGCGTTTGCTCGTCCTCTCAATACTTGACAAACTTTCTCACTGAGGCGATCAAACACTCGATTGAAGCGCGTGCGTGCATGACACTTGGTTACCCGACGTTCGTCACGTGACTCACGATTGGATATAGAGTGCGCGTTGAACCGACCAGGCCGATTCTCTAGCGAGCTCTGAATTGAACTTGCCTACACCACGCGCCATCTGGCTGAAACGAAACACAAACAGCCTGTGCTATCTTTCGTTGACCTTGTATTGCATCAGACAGTTGAGTGCACACGGAGGTTACATGCAATTTGCGAAATGTGTGGTCGAGCACGTGGTGCAACGAAGTGACGCAGGCAGCTCGATCGGGAGTCTTCATGATTAGAGACTGCGATGGGTAGTCGGAGTGAGCCCGTTGCATCATTCCGACACTTAAGCAAGGTTGGGAAACGAAGAATGGGATAGATGGTACCGGACATTACATCAAGAAACAAATGTGTCGATCAAAAGGCGCACGATTACGCGTAACACCAAGTAAAATGTGGGTCAATAACAAAAACTTACGCATGGGAACCGCAACGTGCTTACTCTTTTTCCGATCGGACAATGAGCTCAGAGCTGCTGTCAATCATATTATCATCAGAGTGGGTGCTGAATTGAGCAAATGGTGTATAGAGCAGATGCTGCAGACGACATCTATTCTATGACCACATTCATTCTTCGGAAAATCGTTGCAAACACACCATCCTTTGCTCGATACAGCCCGTATTTTTAGCTTTCCCTTCACTAAACACACATCCCCCAATCAAACAGGTCTCAACTGAATTCTGATGCACATCAACAAGATATTGTACTTACAGTCAAATGCTCCGTGGGATAACCAAAAGGCTAGGGTCCGATACGTTACGTCACATGGCAGCACGAGAATGTAATCGATACCACTAGTACCTTACAATGTAAAGGTTGTTATGCGGGTTACAGAATCTTGCCTATTTCATATCATACAGCACAGATTGCAAAGCTCAAAGAGCACTCCCCAGTACTAGAACCTCTGTCAGCATAATCTTCCGGAACAAAGACCTTTCAAAAAGCAATTTACTAGTGCTGTAACGGGGCACCCTGAAGCTTGTACTGGTGACAGTACAAGCTACTTATTCTGATAACAGAATAAGGCGGTGCCTCGTAACTTCACGTACACTCGTACGTGCAGAGGAAGACGGTAAGAAGAAGCGAGTACTCGGTTAGAGTAAAAAGTAGAACTGTATTTATAATAGTTAATGTCTGCAATAAATCACTATTTATCTTCATCTAACTATGTCTAAATACAAATGTGTAAATCAGTTATCTGCTCACCACTCATTGCGTGCGTCTGTCGTGGCGCGTCTTCGTTGGTTGATATAATGGCCTATATCAACCAATTAGGGACTACTTGGAAGTGCTACAGAATATTGTCCTTATGACAATATTCTGAGAATATAACTCTTATAGTTATATTCTATTAACAATTTCTTATAAATTGTTATGTAACGATTCACCCCGTTACATCACCCCCCTAACCATCAGTCACTTTAGTGACTGATTGACTAAATGGATACTCGTCCCAAATCATTTGGGACGGGGTTTGCACTTGTTGGTCCGCGTCCACTTTCCAACATCTCATCGCATGGTAAACAAGCCCATGCGATGCGCGAGCAAGGCCGCCGAGAGCGCGTCTGCACGTCTCTGTGCGGACGCCGAAGCAGAAACTACAGCAACTGATGTCCCATCGGTTGCTGAATCGACTCAGCCTGTATCACCTGGTGATGCAGGCGCTGGTCATGAAGACACTCGTGTCTTCACAGAGTACGAGCTCGGTGTCTCGTACTCTCCTGATACGGATGACGGATCCGTATCGACGGCAATTGAATCCAAGCCGCCTGCCAAGCGTGGCATGGACGATGCTTTGCGTCGCAGCATCTTTGGTTCATCTGATGAGTCAGATGAACCATCGCCGAAGCGAAGGCGCTCGAGGTCGCGAGACTCGGGCGCTAATAGTGGTGTCGTTTCTCCAATGGACACCACTTCACAGCGAGGTGCCAGTACTTCTGTCGGCACGTCGCAGGAAGAGCGGGACCGCAATGTGTTGCGTCTCGCTCCAGAAAAGAAGGCATGGATGCCTCCTAAATCTGTCATGGATCACTTGTCGGCGACGACGAGTGATCGTTATCGAACACGATTGTTCGATTCGTCGAGGATTCATCACCTTGACCCCAGCGCGAAAGACTATCGCGCTGAACATGAGTTCTTCATCGATGCTTTCTTCAGACATCGATGGTACAGTGGGAATCACAAACGTGATGGTCCCTCACTACTTCAGGCGTGGAACGCCTACATCCATAATCTCGAGGATGTAGGTCGTGACGCTTGGAACGACAAACTTATCAAAGCTCGTGATAAGTTTGAAAAGCGAACCCCGACAGGTGCACGCTATAAGCTGCATCGTCTGTCAAGGGAGAAAGGATTACCCTGCCTCTCTTGGGGAGACTCGTGCCCATGTTGTGTGAACAACTCTGCACGAGCACCTAAGGAGGCTTACCTCCTTACCAGCCCGTGGTGGCGCGTACGTGTCTCTACTGAGATGTACGAAGGGATTGACAACCTGAAATCCCTTTACGACCGTGCCGGGAAGACTTTCTCCGGCGGTCCTTCTGCGGCACAGGATGTGCCGCGTCGTACTGCTCAACCAGACCCAGTACGTCGATCATCAGTTGGGAGCGGGGCTCCCAAGAATCCCAGGACGGGGGATATCCGCGCCACCAGACGAGACAACTCGTCCGACGTCCGTTCACGTCGCGGTGGTTCAACAGCTGCTCAACTAGATAGCGCTGGCCACCGCGAGAGTCCTCTAATGGAGGTGGAGGAGGAGGAAAGACGCTCTCCACACGATCATGTGGATCGGTGTGTTCCCGAGAGCTTCTTTGATCGCGTAACGCAAGGGTTACGCGACGATCTCGAGCATGAGCGGAATAGGCGTCTCCAGATGGTGGACACTGCCTCGAAGCATCGAGCTGAGTTTGCCTTTGCTCAGCTTGAGAACGAGAGATCTCTGACATCTCTTCGTGACGAGCTAAGGGTAGCTCGTGGGATTGTTGATCGGTCTCGGGCTGAGATAACTGCTCTTCAGACCCTTGTTGATGCCCACCATCGGGAGCACAAGGCTCTCTGCGAGATGCTTGAGCGCAAGGGCGTTCTTCATCGGAAGAAGCAGCGTACTGATGGTACGGCTTAAGCCGACCAACGTAAAACGTGGGATGCGTTCGCATCTTACGTGGTAACTCGATCGTGTATGCATTGCCTAGGCGGTGCAATACACGAAATGGGCCAATGTACTTGGGTAGTAGTTTACTGCTACCCAAGTTAGTCACTACATGTTTTGGTAGATTAACCGTAGACAGTAGGACTAAGTCACCTTTATTAAATAAAAGAGTGTTTGCCCTTCCATTCTTGTCAGCGTTTTGCTTTTGCTTATCCACCGCTTCGGCGATGGAGTCTTGCACAAAACGGACTACCGTTTCACGAGCCAGTATGAACTCATCTGATGACTCGTTAGCTTCAGTGTGCTGTGAGCGCACTGCAGCGACAACAACCTTTTCTTCAGTGAGGGCTTCCGCACTCTCACTGGGATCATTGTCTTCAGTGAGGGCTTCCGCACTCTCACTGGCATCATCTTCTTCGATATCGATGTTATCGATATCGGCATCAAACGCAATGACTTCTTCGTCAGAGCGTGATGAGCGTGAACCAAATCGGTTTTTGCTCGCGCGAGTCCCTCCCCCCCTTAAACCAGATTTACACTCTAGTAAGGTGGGTACACGCGGATGGCGCAAGCCATTCACGTAAAACGGTGTATGTGTCGTCGACGCATGCACCGAGTTGTTGATGGCAAACTCTACCATCGGCAAAAACTCACTCCAACTCTTAAAGGAGTGTACGTATCCTCGAAGTATCTCTTCAAGGACACGATTGGCACGTTCCGTCTGACCATCTGACTCTGGATGATCAGATGTTGACATCTTCAAGCGCGTTCCGAGTGATTTGAACACGGAACGCCAGAAATCAGCAGTGAATCGTGGATCTCTGTCTGATACGAGTTCACGGGGCAACCCATGAAGTCGGAAGATGGTGTCAATAAAGACACAAGCACAGCCACTTGCCGTGATTGTCTCTGGTACAGCCACAAGGTGTACCATTTTGCTGAGTCTGTCAACAAATACGAGAATACTCGTATTCTCGCGTGCGTCTTTGGGTAACCCGAAGACGAAATCCATTGAGATGGATTCCCAGCACTCAGCCGGAACCGGTAGAGGCTGTAAAGGTGCACGCAGTGAAGGACTTGACTTCACTCGTTGGCAGACTTCGCATGCGCGAACATACTTTCGCACAAACTGATACTGGCGGGGCCAGTAAAAGTCTCGACTTACCGTGAGATATGTTTTCTCTCGGCCACGATGTCCTCCTATAGGAGCATCGTGATACTCGAACATGATCCGCAAACGCAGATCAATATCATCTGGAATGACAACACGTGGTGTGTCACCAGAAACGG